GTCTCTGTGTTCTAATGTATTTAGACCATTCACTTATAAAGTGACCCTTATATAGTTGGATTAATATTTATTGCTATATATGTTTTCTATTTTTTCTGCACTTGTTCTTTGTTTCTTTTTGGTCTTCTTTTTCTGCCTTTTGTGATTTTACTTGAACATTTTACATTGTTTCATTTTCCCTCCTTTCTTAGTATGTCAATTATACTCCTTTAAAAATTAGTTTAGTGGTTGCCCTAAGTTTACTGTATACATTTGCAACTAATCTAAATCTGATTTCAAACAACATTATGTTGCTTCATGGATAGGAGCATGTTACAAGCATCCCTTGTAACATTGCTGTCATCCACTTCAATTATCTGTAGACTATAAATCATCCAATATATTGCTCTTTGTTGATTATATTGAACAAACAATAGATCTATTAGATCAATGAAGAACATCAAAAAATGAAAAATTTTGTTTTGCCTTCATCTGTTCCTTCTCTAACCATCTTTGTTATTCAAATATACTTTTTTTAAGTATATTTGAATTTCTGACCCATGTAATTTTCCTTCCTTCTGAAGAACTTTATGCATTTCTTGCAAGACAATTCTCCTGGGAGCAAATTCCTTCAGTTTTTTTTTTTTTTTGGTCTGAGAAGGGCTATATTTCTTCATTATCTTAAAAACAATTTATTTAGGTGAAATTCACATAGCATAAAGTTAACCATTTTACAGTGAACAATTCAGTGGCATTTAACATCTTCAAAATGTGCAACTACCACCTCCATTTCGTTCCAAAACATTCCGATAACTCCATGGTGGAAATAAAATCCCATACCATTCTCTCCTCCCCAGCCCCTGGCAACCACCAGTCTGCATTCTAACTCTATGGATTTATCTATTCTGGATATTTCATATACATAGAATCACACACTATATGACTTTTTGTGTCTGATCCTTTTAAGTTATAATGTTTTTGAGGTTCATCCATGTTGTAGTATGTGTCTGTACTTCATTTTTTTATGGCTGAGTAATAGTCTACTGTATGTATATGCCACAATTTGTGTATCCATTCATCGTTCTTTGACGCTTCAGCTGTTCCCATGTTTTGGCTAATGTCAGTAGCACTACTGTGAACACACATGTACTTGCATTTGTTCAATATCTATTTTCAATTCTTTCGTGTACATACCAGGAGTGAAATTGCTGAGTCATGTGGTATGTGACCACCACACTGTTTTACATAGCAGCTGCACCATTTTACATTATCAGTAATGTACAAGTTCAGTTTCTCCTCATTATCTCCAACACTTGCTATTTTGAACTTAAAAATCTTATAGCCATCCTAATAGTTGTGAGGTGGTATCTCACTGTGATTTTAATTTGCATTTCCCTAATAATTGATGACACTGAGCAGCTTTTCATGTGTTTGGTGAACATTTGTATATTGTCTTTGAAGAAATGTTTATTCAAGTCACTTGCTCATTTTTAAATTGGCCTGTATGCTTGTTTTTGAATTTTAGGAGATCTTTATATATTCTGGAAATGAAACTTTTATCATATATATGATTTGCAAATATTTTCTCCCATTTTGTGGTATGTCTTTTCACTTCCTTCATACATCTTTTATATGCAGATGTTTGATGGTTTAATAGTCCCATTTGTCTGTGTTTTCTTTTGGTGATTGTGCTCTTGCTCTCATATCCAAGAAATCATCACCAAATCCACTGTCATGAAGATTTCCCCTTGTGTTTTCTTCAAAGAGTTTTGTAGTTTTAACTCTTACACTTAGTTCTTTAATCTAGTTTGAGCTAATGTTTGTATATGGTGTAAGGCAAAGGTGCAATTCATTCTTTTGCATGTGGATATCTGTTTTTCTCAGCGCCATTTTTTGGGAAGACACCACCCTTTCCCCATTGAATAGTCTTGGCATCTTTGTTAAAAATCAATTAACCTACATGTTTATACCTGGAATCTCAGTTCTATTACATTGCTCTGTGTCTTTCCTTATGCTGGTGCCAGTTGTATTTTGCAGTAAGTTTTGAAATTGAGCCACAGGAGACTACAATTTTACTCTTCTGTTTCAAGATTGTTTTAGCTATTTTGGGTCCCTTGAACTTCCATATAAATTTTAGAATTTATTTTTCCATTTCGGCAAAAACACCATTGGGATTTTGATAGGGGATTCACTGCAATGAGTCTGTCTACCACATTTGGTAATACTGTCATTTTAACAGTATTAAGCCTTCCAATCCAAGAAAACAAGATGTCTTTCCATTTATTAAGGTCTTCTTTAATTTCTTTCAGCAAGATTTTGTAGTTTGCAGTGTAAGAGCCTTACACCTCCTTACATAAATTTATTCCTAAATATGTTATTCTTTTTGATGCAGTTGAAAATTGAATTGTTTTATTTCCTTTTCAGATTGTTCATTGTTAGTGTTTCCTTCACTTTGGAAGGATAATTTCACTAGGTACAGAGTTCTAGGTTAGGGTTTTTTTTTTTTTTTCCAATGCTTTAAATATTTTACTCCACTTTTTTCTTGCTTGCATGATTTCTGATGTAAATATCCTTATTCCTGTATAGGAAAGGTGAGTTTTTCCCTCTGACTTTCAAGATTTCCTCTTTTTCTTTGGTTTTCTGTAATTTGTATGTGATATGCCAGGTATACACTTTTTGGTATTTATCTTGCTTGATGTTGCTGAGCTTCCTGGATCTGTGGTTTGGTGTCTACCATTAATTTTGGAAATTCTTATCTATTATTATTTCAAATATTTCTCCCCCTCTTTCCTTCTCCTTCCAATAGCCTAATATACAAATGTTAAATCTTTGGGAATTGTCCCACAGTTATTGGATATTCTTTTTCTTTTTCATTCTTTTTTCTCTTTGTACTTTGGTTGAGAAGTTTTCACTGATGTGTCTTCAAGCTCACTGAGTCTTTCCTTGGCCATGTGCCACAGTCTCCTGATGAATCATCAAAGGCACTCAGTTCTTCATAGTAGTTTTGATTTCTAGGGTTTCCTTTTGACTCTTAGAATTTCCATCTCTGCTTAAATTACCTGTTCTTGCATGTTGTTCATTTTTTTCCACTAGAGCTGTCATCATATTTATCATTGTTTTAAAAAAGAACCATTTGATAATTTCAAAATCTCTGCCATATTGGAGTCTGGTTCACATGCTTGCTTTATCTTTTCAGACATCAGGTTTTTTAAAAAACAGATATATTTCTTTAGTTTTTGGCTTCCTGGGTCCTGGTTGCTGTGTGTGGGCTTTTTCTGGTTGTGGCGAGCAGGGGCGACTCTTGGTTTTGGCGCATGGCCTTCTTATTGCAGTGGCTCCTCTTGTTGTGGAGCACAGGCTCTAGGGTGTGTGGGCTTCAGTAGCTGTGGTGTCCGTGGTATGTGGGATCTTCCCGGATCAGGGATTGAACCCGTGTCCCCTGCCTTGGCAGGCGGATTCCCATCTACTGCAGCACCAGGGACGTTCCAGACAGCAGTTTTTGAAATGCCTTTTGTATGTCTTACTGTTTCTGGTGGGAGCCAGGCACGTGTTTTGGGCGACAGGAAGTGAGGTAAATAGACCTTTGGTGTGATGTTTTCTGTTTATCTGGTGAGGAGTTGTGCTGTTTAATCCTTGCTGTAGCTGGAGGTATCCACGCTTCCACTGCCGCTGTGGTCTTTGTTCTTCTTTCCTCTACTGTCGTTGGATTCCCCTTGAAACTCTCTCTTAGACAGATGCTCTGTCTCATCTCTCTTAGTCATAATCCACCCTGATTATCCTGGAGCCCTGCTGATGTGGTGGCTGGGTTTTGGGGAGGAGAAGCATTCTGTAATCTTAGGATAAATCTTCACTTTTTAGTGGGCCAGTGTCCACGGGCTGTGAGCTTTAAAAGAGTCCGTCAGCCTTCTTCCTCTCCCTCTTATGAGACAGGAAGAATAGCAGGGGCTCGATTCACCCACCTGTCCTCTCCCCAGGTCACTGGCTCCAACAGCAAAGGTTCCCATGAGGGCAGGTCTCTGAGCAAAGAAGAGAAAGCTCCGTGTGTATTTCAAAATGCCTCCTCTCTTGCTTGTTCCCTCCCACTGCCATGGACACCAGGGGAGGGGAGTCTTCCTGCAAGATTCACCATGAGAACCTGGTGAAACTCCTGGAGGTAAAACTCACAGAAGACCTGGCCCCCCAGTGGTTTTTACCTCTTAAGCCGGTCCACACTCCAGTGATTAGCGGCGAGCCAGCTCTGGTTTTTGCATGATGGTTTGCTCTCTGATCTTAATCTTCTGGTCATCCTAAGAAAAGTTGTTGGTTTTTTTCAGCTCTTTCCTTGTGAGTATGGGAGTGATGTCTGCAAGCTATTTACATGTCAAAGTAAAAGTCAGCATTGTGAATCTAGATGTTTTGTTTGTTTTGTTTTTTCCCCCATAACTGTCTTCTTCTTGGATTACTTTCTTTCATTCCCTTTCATTGGGTAATTTTTCTTTCTCCCTCCTTCATTATCTGTTCTTTTAGTTTTTTAACCTTTTACTTTATATGATCCCTGAATATTTTTACTTACTCCCTTAGCCCTCTTGTACCTACTATTTATTTGGTATATATACATTTCTAAACTCTTCCCTGATTGTTTTTTACTTTCATAAATTGTAAGTTATTGAATAAATAGATGTTTATTTGTATACTTTCAAGTTTGGGGTTTTCAAAAAGAAAAACTTCACTGTTTTGTAAAATCATAGAGCCTTTTAAACAACTTCTAATAATATATAACTGTACAAAGAAGAAAGTAAACATATACACACATGTATAAACATATGTGGACACACCTAAGGCCCCACCACAAGGAGTAGTTATCATGAACATTTGGTGAATACCGTTTAGCTGTATCTCCAATGCATGTATACAAAGAGATAGACTGCAAAAATGAATGTGTGATCAAGGGAATCACACTTGACATGCTCTTTAAAAAATAAAAAGTATTAAGGGTTGTTTTTAGATAAAATTTTTTACCATAATGTTTTTGTTTCCAAAAGATCTTTCTAAAACATAAGAAGATTATGAAAACAGTGAAGTATTGTTCCTAGGCGCACGGTGAGGAACGTCTCAAGTCATCTGTGATGAAAGACTCTGCTGTAAAAGGCAAAGCTGAAGCGAAGGGATGTGAAACAGCTTTTTGACCAGGCACTTTCATTTACGTTATGACCCATCCATTTGGCTCCTGGTTATACCTCTGTCAGAGCTGGAAATGACATCTACACTTCCTCGTGCTGTGGAAGTAAAGAAAGACCGACCAGGAAGACGTGCTGTGGACCAAGGGTTTTCTATCAAGAGGGCGTTGGCCACCAGGACTTGCGTTCAGCAGAGCCTGGAAGGTGGGCAGGAGTGGAAGGGGGAGGCTCCGTGTGCCCTGCTGGCGGCTGTGGGCAGAGGAAGCTGGAGGCGGGCTGCATATGACAGACGTGGGGCATCTGATGTGCCTGGTTTGGGGCACGTTAGCCTTTCTGCTTTGCCCTGACTTGACAGGATGGATAAAACACACCAAAGCTGGTGTGGGTCAGTCCTGACTGCCCGGCCTGATGGCTGCTGAGGCTACGGGCTGGCTTCCTGGCTGGTTGCTGCCAGACTGTGGGTCAGCATTCTGTTATCACATACGGTCTGGCTGTTGTCTGTCTGTATGCTCAGTCCCTCCACAACTCCATGTCCGTTGTCTGGTCGCAGTAATGTCCCATTACAGCCCCTCTCCACCCCGGACTCAGGGGGCTTCCAGCAGTAAGACTCATCTGGGCTGTGAGTAAGTCCACAGGTTGGCGATTTGGGCTGGGCTTAGCCGGAGGCCTCAGCGGGGACGACTTCTTACACGAACAGGCAGCTTCCTAAGGAAGAAACCGAGAAGCGCTCTCATTCACATGGCCGCGGTGGCCTTGGCCGCGGGCTGAGCTAGGCTGGCTGGGGTCCCTCAGTCCTGCCCCACGAGCCTCGCCTCTCAGGCCGGCCCAGGCGTGTTCTCCGCGGTGCCAGCTCGGGGCTGTCACCGGGGCTGCTCAGGTCTGTGTGTGCCCGTGCGCTGCTGCGCCGACAGCCAGAGCAGGTCCAGGGTGGGGCCCGGATCCGAGGGTGGCGCCCCGGAGCGTCCGGGAGAGCGTGGGCGCACAAGGGCGCGGTGGGCCAGCTGCGGGCGCTCTTTGCCTGACTCTCGTCCCCCCTGCCCGCCCGCTCCGCGGCCCCTGGGCGGGGCCGCGCCGTACGCTCTGTCTGGGAAGACAGCTTCATTGACGGTAGTTCATTCGTTTTCACGTGCGAAACGTATCCTTACTACTTTTTAAGTGAAATTTTAGCTCATAGGTGCAGAATTTATTAACCAAGAAATTACTTAGAATGAGTCCATTAAACCACTTTTATGCAGTTGCCTCTGTGTTTTTTCCGAGCTCAAACATAATTTGGCAGTAAATGTTTTGTGAGAATTTAAAGTGCCATACGTGTCATTCATACGGTATTTATTCTCACTGTTACTGAAATCTTCCAGAAGTTTCTATATGAAGTATCCATGTTTTTTTTTTTTGCTAACTGCACTCAGTTTCTTAGTTCTGAGCCTTTAGGTAGCAGCAGTCTTACACATAGGTTATACTTCTCATTCATATTAAGTCCTATTATAGTAACTGTCACTGTCTCTTTATTGCCCTTAAAATGAATCATAAAGAAAGTGAGTTTGGAGTATATTTAAGAACAGCAGGTGTGTGAATTTTGTAAGAAGACATCACGTTTTGTGTACACAGCAATGCATGAAGTTGAATACTGAAAGGGTCCAGCTGCCTCAGTTGTGACAGTGTCGAACAGGAAATAAACACCATGCTGGAACAAATGTCATGTTGAGAACTTTTACGAAGCTTAAATTCCTTTAACAGAAAAAGAGGTAGTTTTGTGTAAGTAGAAATACAAAAAGAAACTCCTAAAAAAAAAAATAGTACATAAAAAATGAGTTCTCTTTTTCTAAAGTTGTTCTATTATATGATAATCCTCTGAGTGGTTTGGTGTGGAAGTGTTTTCATGTATAGTATATTTTAAATAAAGTTTATTCCTGTGCTGTTCTCAGCATAACTAATTTACATGTCCATTATTTCTAAATACATGTTTGATTGCCTAGTCATTAAGCTAATATTTATGAAATGCTTAGTCTATGAAAGTATGATGCCAGGAACTCCAGTGATATCGAAGTGAAATCAGTTCAGAGTCCTGCCCTCAAGGAGATTATTGTTTAGAAAGAGAAGAAAAACATGCACGTGAAGAACTGACATTAAGATAAAAAGAGCCGCCGTCCACTCTCGGAGGAGGAGGGACAAGCCAGGGTGGCGGAGCTGGGGGGCAGTGATGACAAGGGCTTGGGGTGAGAATGCAAGGTCAGAGAAGACCTGCGGGGGAGTGGACCAGAGACGACAGGAATGGGAGCAGCATGCGCAGAGCAAGGCCCTGGAGGAGCCACGCGGGCGAGCAGCCGGGGCAGGTGTGTGTCCAGGGCTCGGGTGGGGAAGGAGGGAGAGGGGGACAGGCTTGCAGCGAGGCGGGGCGGGAAGGGGAGGGCAGGACTGCTGGCCCCTGTGCCCGCCCAGGCGTTAGCTGGAGAGGAGAGCCTGGGTGGGGAGAGCTTCTGGGCAGGGATGGAGCAGCGTCAGGGGCGCGGGTGGGCAGGAGGTGGCCCCGGAGGACCCACAGGATGGGCATGAGGGGGGCCAGGTGCCCTGGAGCTCGGGGAGCAGGTGCGCGGAGGCGCAGGGGAGAAAGTTGAGTGCACAAAGCCGGCTTTACCTGCGTGGCCTCACACCACCACGAGTCATTAGAATGGTTTCAATGTGGAAAGGAAGAAAGGTGAAGCTTCATAACCGAGGCTTATTTTTTCCTGTAGGGATTTCTATAATAATTTTAACAAAAGATGTCAACAGCCAAGAAGCACGGCCAGGGAGCCCACTTTGCTCGGGAGTGAAGAGTGAAAGCGGCTCCTTGCTGTCACTTCTGGCATTTCCACGGCTCCGCGCTTCCTGCGTGTTTCGTCGCTTCTGATCTCACGGAAACGGGCCAGCTGCTTTCATTCTGCAGTTCGCAACTTCCCTATTTTTGTTCTGTGATTATCAATTGTCGCCCAAATTGTGTCACCTAATTTTTCTGGGTGGTTGTAGGGGATACAAGGATTACTCAAAATTGTAAATGTTAGCTCCAGTTTGAATTTACTAGTTTTTAGATTCTGACAGGACATCTGAATCCAAAACTACATTTAAAAAAAATCAAAACAAGAAGTCTCCTGGAACTGTAAATTGTTTTACTTGATTTTCTTCACTATGGTGTTCCTAGCACACAGCTCAGTAACCCACCCATGGCAGGCACCCAGCAACCCAGTGTGGGCTTCATCATTTTCCAAGCTGGAGTAGCCGTGTAATTGATACCTTCAGTGAGGGGTAAAAAAGAAGGACTTTTTTCTTTGATTCTGGAAGGATTTTGAAATCAAAGATATGTGTGTCAATTCTTAAACCATTATAGAGACTGTTTATTGGGCTTCCCTGGTAGCTCAGCAGTAAAGAATCTGCCTGCAATGCAGGAGACCCAGGAGATGCTGGTTTGATCCCTGGGTCAGGAAGATCCCTTGGAGGAGGGCATGGCAACCCACTCCAGTGTTGTCTGGAGACTCCCATGGACAGAGGAGCCTGGCAGGCTACAGTCCATGGAGTCGCAAAGAATCGGACGTGACTCAAGTGACTGAGTACAGCGTGGTAACTATTTATTAGGATAAACGTTCTTACTGCACTGCAGTAAGAGTTGGGTTTTAGGAGTGAAAAGACAGGTACAAGTCCAGGCTCTGTCACTTAGGAGGTGTGTGTGGTCTTGGGCAGCAGAGTCAACTTCCTCGTGCCTTAGTTTCCTCACCCAGTGAATGGGAGTAATAATGTCTGCATTAGATTAAGTTAGCTGCTGTATGCAAACTGTGAGGTAATTTTGTAGGAATCATTGAGGCAATGTATTTAGAGCGCTTCCCCAGCGCCTGCAGTAGCTCGTGCTTGTGGACGGTTGGTGTTTTTGCTGTGGTTAGTGGTTACAGGTGGCGTGAGGCACAAGCCGGCTGAGCGGGTGTTCCTGTTCCCATATTATGTGATGACCATTCCCGATCAGAGCGTCCCTGGTGAGTTCACAAGATGAGAGCGAGGTTGTGTAGTTCCATGCCGTCTGAGTGGCCACAGAAACACTACAAATTATTTTCAACCATGAAACGAGGCCTTCCCTGGTGGCTCAGCTAGTTAAGAATCCGCCTGCAACGCAGGAGACACAGGTTTGGTCTCCGGGTCGGGAAGATCCCCTGGAGGAGGGCATGGCTACTCACTCCAGTATTCTTGCCTGGAGAATCCCAAGGACAGAGGAGCCTGGTGAGCTACAGCCCATGGGGTTGCAAAGAGTCAGACGTGACTGAGCAACTAACAACAATGAAAAGAGAGGCAAATGAACATGTTTTATTGGAACTTATGCTACTTAGTTTAAACTTTACGACTGGATTTCAGACAAGAGCAGATTGAAATCACAGTTCTCTGAACAATGGAAATTTCAGTACTTGTAGTATGTGAGTTTTATTTATATCTTTTCCTTATTATTTAAAGCTCTTCATTCTTTGAGAATGTAGTAAAGTCCTGTCATTTCAGACCTCAGAATTAGCATTGAAAACATGGGATTCTTTACCGGGATTGATGAAAGTAATTTATTGTTTGCCGGGTCAAACACAGCATGCTATTTGTCACACTGTGGTTTGTGTATCTTTCTAGAAGCTTTCAACTTTGATCTGAGTCAAAGTACACTCAGTAGCACAGATGACAGAGTTAGAAAAAAAACCCCAGTGATGTGCATTGTCACTCACAGAAACTCTAAATCAACAAGTACAGAGACGCAGAGTGAAAAACCCAAGTCCTTTAAAGAGGCTTGTACGTTCTTGTGAGAGAGCAGGCCGGGTCTTTCTCGGCGAGACAAAGGTGCGGGACAGTTTATTAGTTCAAGGCTGAGCTCCCCGGGTGCCACCTGACGGCGCCTCTTCAAGGCCAGCTTCTGGCCCTTGCCGGTCCTTTAGGTAAACACTCGCATTTAAAAGACCTTGCACCGCAGGGCTCCCCGCACATAAAAGCAGCTTTCTTAAACTGTCATCAGAGCGGATTTCAGAACGTGCTTTTAATACTTACAAGGTTGATGTTTGCCTTTTAAAAATGCTATTTGAGATAGCTTTTTATTTAACTTTCCCCTCGGCCTGGCTTTTACCTGATGGGCGGCAGCATTAAGGAAACTCGCCTTGTTGTGAGACCAGACAAAGATTTAGGGAAACGGTGCTCATGTGACCTTTTGAAAGTCAAGGCTTTAAAAAAAATCCTTGTTTCAACACCATAAAAACTGGATGGAAAACAAAGGCATGTAATCTTCATCTGAACATTTGGTTTCAGATTCTTTTTATTGAGCCTGTGTTGATTATATTGGGAGATAAATTAATTGTTTTCTGGGATGCCCTGTACTTCTATTTCCTCTCGGGTTTTAACAAGCAATGGCTCAGATCAATAAAAAGATGAAGGAGAGAGGACTGGGATAGGGGACATTTGGGTATGCTTAACTCTTAACTCTTCTAGATTACGATTCTCATAAAAGGAATTTAGCTCTGTTCTTCAAGCTGCATTTGTAGAGTTAATTATTGGTAGGAAATTCAAGCTTGTATATTACAAATATAATTAATAGCTGCAAAATAATACATGGTATGGGTGTGCCAGAATTTATCCAGGCACACCATTATTTTTCGGCATTCCCTTTGTTTCCTGTTTGAAACAATAATATTCCTTTAAATTTATATTTCTATACCTGGAATATTTATAAAGTTAAGTATTTGGGGTAAAAAAATACACACGCCTTTTTGATTGTACAGTTCCATACATTTTGACAAACACAAACAATCACGTAACCAGCAC